CGCCATCATGATCACGACAACGCCGCCCTTGGTGGCGACGTGAGCAAGGCGTGGACAGCGCCAGCAACAACAACTGGGAGCGATGTTGCTGCTGCTACTGCTGCAGCTGCTCTCCTGCATGAGGACGACCCTTCGAGTACGGCGAGCGCAGCACCCGGGACACACGTGGACAAAGTTGATGGTGATGATGATGGTGATGATGAAGGTGTGACATCACCAAGGAGGAGAACACGGCATGTGCACAAGGGCCGCCATCACGATGCTGATGGTGGTGGCTCGCATGTGCATGTGCGCAAAAGGACGAGTGGAACCAGCAGCGGTAGCAGCGGCAGCAGCGACGGAGTGTCCACCCACCACTCGCAACAACACTCGCATTTCCACCGCCATCATCATCATCATCACACGACGACACCCGTGTCCCTGCCGCACGATGTGCACAACACTGCTGAGCGCGTTCCTGGCGGTGTTGAGCTCTCGCTTCACGTCCCGCACCCAACCAGCCCATCGCGAACAGCAGCAACCACAACAGCAGCAGCAACAGGAGGAGGAGGAGGAGGAGGAGGAGGAGGAGGAGGAGGAGGAGGGAGGACGGTTGTTCAAGTGCCGTCGTCGTCGTCATCACCCGCATCATCACCGCTGCACAGCCCGGCCAGGAAGCGGGGGAGTGCTGGCGGTGATCATGGTCATGGTCGTGATCGTCACAGTCATGATGACGGCAGGAAGGATAGGCGAAGGGAGAGCTGGACCGAGGGTCCACTACAACAACAACAGCAGCAGCAGCAGCAGCAACAACAACAGCAGCAGCAGCAGCAGCAGCAGCAGCAACAGCAATTGTCGTCATCCTCGTCGTCATCGCCACAGCACGTGCCCTCCCGTCGGCGAACGTCTGACCAATTCGGTAACCCACAACAGCAGCAGCACCACCACCACCACCACCACCAGCACCAGCACCAGCAGCAGCACCAGGATGGTGGTGACACACGCGGCAGCAGGGTGGCGACAGGAACAGCCCCTGCAGTCACGGTCACCACCGCGAGCAGCACTGATGGTGGTGTTGGTGGTGGTGATTTGTTGGTGGAGGTGGATGACGAAGACACGCTCACACAGTACCGCCGTGATCACCTGTCGTCTGATTTGCGCGTGGATGTGGATGGACTTGTGGCTGCTGCTGTTCCCGTGTTTGCATCGCCAAACCGCAAGAACGCGGCCTTCCTCCTCCTCTGCTGCAAGGCGCTCTCAAAGGTGAAGCCGACAACGAGCAACGGAGATTGGACAAGAGGGGGATGGCTGGTTGCTGGTGGTTGAGTTGATTGTTTGATGTGTGCGTGTGTGGTGATGGTTGTGTTGCTGCTTCAATGCTGCGATGCTCACGCTCATGCATGCCTCTGACACACACAAAACCACACACAACAATAACGTCACCACCACCACCACCACACACAACAACATCACCACCACCACCACCACCACCACAACTACCCCTATCAACACCAGCGTGTGCGTGCGTTTGATGCGGAGTTCCTGGCTGCAAACGGACGAAAACCGCACAGAGAGGAGCGAGCGCCGGTGGCGACACACGTCCGCCTCTATCGCCGGCTCAAGACCTGGATGCAAGGTGCAGTGTTGGGTGACGTGGGTGTATGTGCCTGTGTGTACGTGTGTGTGTGTTTGTGTGTCTGTGTGTCTGTGTGTGTGTGTGTGTCTGTGGCGCGGAATCGGCACACATGCAGCACGCTGTTTCACTTCCTTTCACTCACCACCACCACCACCACCCCCACCAATCACCGTCATCACTCGCCGCCATGCAGAGCGCGGGCTGCTGTCTGCTGACGGGCGGCAGCTGCTTGTGTCCACGTCGTCATCGTCAGTGTCGTCGGTTTCGGCATCCTCATCGCGCCTCCCATCACAATCCGACACCAAACCACCAACGGCAGCAGCAACACCAATAACAGTAACGGCAGCAACAGCAGCAGCAAAGGCGCCATCAACGACAACGACGACAACGACAACAGCACCAGCGACAACGGAGACCGACAGGAAGACCAAGAAGACGCCGCCACCGCGCCCACCACCGCCACGAACACACACGCGCAGTGATGGTGATGCAGCCACCACAGCACACGCAATCGTATCGGCAGCTGTTGACAGTGCTGATGACAAGGACGAAGGTCGTGGTCACCGTGATGGCCACGATAATGGTGTTGGTGGTGATGGTGGTCGCGGTGGCAAAGGTCCAGATGCACGCGCTGTGGTTGCAGCGTTTCAGGCATGGCGCAAAACACACGACACAAGCGATGAGGTCAGGAGAAGGACGGACGGACGGAGAGCATGCGTGTTTGCGTGTTTGCGTGTGAACAGCACAGCTTCACGCACGGCCTTGCCGGACACCTCTCAACACCACAAAACACACACACACACACACACACACACACACACACACACACACACACACACACACACACACACACACACACACACACACACACACACACACACACAC